AAAAAAAAAAAAAAAAAAAAAGAAAGACTTAATATTGTTAAGTCCATAGTACCCAAAGACCTACAGATTCAGTGAAATCCCTAACAAAATTCCAATGGCATTTTTTTTTTTTTGCAGAAATAGAAAATAACATCCTAAAATCCATATAGAAGCTCAAAGAACCCTGAGTAGCCAAAACAATCTTGAGAAAGAACAAAGCTGAAGGCTTCATACTTTCTGATTTCAAAACATATTACAAAGATACTTTAACCAAAAAGAGTATGTTACTGGCATAAAGTAAGGCATATAGATCAATGGAACAGAATAGAGAGCCCAAAATAAACCCTCACATATAAGGCCATATGATCAAGAAAGGTGCCAAAACTACACAATGGAAAAAGGATAGTCTCTTCAATAAATGGTATTGGGAAAACTGGATATCCACATGCAAAAGAACGAAATTGGATCCTTACTTCACACTATATACAAAAATTAAATCAAAAGGAATTAAAGCCCTAAACATAAGACTTACAAATGAAAAAAACTCTTATAAGAAAATATAGAAGAAGAGCTTCATGACATGGGATTTAGCAATGATTTCTTGCATATGACAGCAAAAACACAGGCAACAAAAACAAAAATAGACAAATGGACTACATCAAACTTAAAAACTTCTGTGCAGCAAAGGAAATAATCAACAGAGTAAAAGGGCAGCTTATGGATTTGAAAGAAAATACTTGCATATCATACATCTGATAATGGGTTAATATCCAAAATATATAAAGAACTCCGACAACTCAACAATCAAAACACAAACATTCATTAAAAAATGGACAAAGGACTTGAATAGACGTTTCTCCAAAGAAAATAATACAGGTGACCGACAAGCATATGAAATGGTGCTCAATATCACTAATCATCAGGGAAATGAAAATCAAAACCAAAATGAGATGTTACCTCACACCCATTAGAATGGCCACTATAAAAAAAAAGGAAAACCAGAAAATAACAAATGTTGGTAATGGTGTGGAGAAACTGGATCCCTTGTGCACTACTGATGGGAAGGTAAAAT